ACATTTACCTGAAATATAGCAAAATACTGTAATTCTAGACGGGTACCAAAGATGTGAAGCAGGGTGGAGGCAGCATGGTCACCTGGAGGAGCAGGTGAAGAACATCTCAAACACAAAGTCTAATGTACAACCCTTGGAGACGACGTGGTGACTCTTCTGCATCCTGATGACGTGCAGTCTCGTGCAACATTTCAGGAGATGCGTTGTGTCCGACTCTCAGCTACTACCACAGCACAAGTTGAGCTCAGTCTTTCAGACTCACTGAATTATGGTCATTTTTGTGTTTTCCACAGTCGTTTGGCTGCGGCAGCCATTTTGAATTGAGTTGTCTCCAAAAGATGATCAGTTGTAGACGTTTGCCTCGTGGTTCTTTGAAAGTTATTCATTGTGTTCGATAGTTCATGAGCTAGTTTGGTAGCATGCACACATAAACAGAAACAACATTATTGTACTTTTGCATCTGGCAGCAGGTGCCAACTGTTCAAGATAAATCCTGAGATGATCTCTCAGAAGAAATTCACACTGAAGTCGATTTGATCAAGCTGATGCAATTTCCCAACATTGAACTCTTTCAGATTTTCAGCTACCCGACATCTTTGTCCCTTTCTTTGGTTTCAGCTCGTATATCCAGGTGTTCACGTTCTTCAGTGTGGTGGGATGAAAGTTTACTAAGTGTGTTAAAAAACTTCAAAGCACACCGACAGCACGTTGTGTTAGTCAACTGTCACATGAGAGCTTCAGGCAGAACAAATATTTTGCTCAGGCATCGCCTGCTCTGTTTTCTGCTTCGAGGATTCAGCTGCTATTCTCTGGAGATTAGATTAGAGATGTCGCACATTAAATTATGACAACACTTGGTGGTCCCACTGTGTGCGCGCGCTTAGTTTATTGCTTATTTGTCATGTGCACGTCAACACAAGGTCAACAATGCAAAGAAACGTTCAGGACGAGAAGAACCGTCTCGACTCCCAAAAACAAATAAAACAAGAAATACCCGAGCATGCAACTAAAGTACAGAACAAAGCAACTAAAGTACAGAACAAAGCAACTAAAGTACAAAACAAAGCAACTAAAGTACAAAACAAAGCAACTAAAGTACAGAGGCATGCAACTAAAGTACAAAACAAAGCAACTAAAGTACAGAACAAAGCAACTAAAGTACAGAGGCATGCAACTAAAGTACAGAACAAAGCAACTAAAGTACAGAACAAAG